GCCATCGCTATTAGATTGGAGGCCACCACTATTAGGTGGGAGGCCATCGCTATAGCAGGTCGGAGGCCATCGCTATTAGGTTGGAGGCCGTCGCTAGTAGGTTAAAGGCCGTCGCTAGTAGGTTGGAGGCCATCACTATTTGGTTGAAGGCCATCGCTATTAGGTCGGAGGCCATCGCTAGCAAGTTGGAGGCCATCGCTATTAGGTTGGAGGCCATCGCTAGTAAGTTGGATGCCGTCGCTGGTGTGTTGGAAATGGTTGGAGGATGTTGGAGGCCATTGCAATTAGTCTGGAGGCCATGGCTATAATAGGTTGGAGGCCATCGCTATTGGGTTGGAGGCCGTCGCTATATTAGGTTGGAGGCCATCGCTAGGTTGGAGGCCATGGCTAGTAGGTTGGAGGGCGTTGCTATGACATTATGAGTTGGATGCCATAGCAATTATAGGTTGGAGGCCATCGCTAGTAGGTTGGAGGCCATCGCTATTGGGTTGGAGGCCATTGTAGTAGGTTGGCGGCCGTCGTTATTAGTTGGAGGCCATCGCTATTAATTACCATGGAGGCCATCGCTAGTAGGTTGGAGGCCATCATGACTTTTACATCCCCAGGCACATGGCTGTCGGTCACCATAGTTGCGCTATTGAAAGGATTGCCTGGGCATTGTGTGTATTATATAGCTCTTTATGCCACAGCTGTCAATCCCAATATCAAAAAGAACACTACCTGTTTTCCGATCATTAAATGGTTGATTGCTGCGCGCCTAGCATAACCGGATGACCGTGCATTAACCGAGAGGCCCGACCCAACATACAAGATATCACAGCAACAGCGTCAAAGAATGAGTCGAAACCCTACAGGCAGACCATCAAAACAGGACCATGACATGACATTATCAATAGACGACGTCCACAAACACGATGGAAGCACTTAAATCACCCGTGCCCAAGTGGCTAACCCCTGCAATCAGTCTGAGGTCCAACGTGCTTTGGTCTTTTGCAACCTTTTGCATGTTGACCTTGAGTGCACGGACGGAGCAAGCCCATGCAAAATGGACTTGTGTTCAATTCTCAATCGGGCGTGAAGATCGTCGGGCATCCGCTTGGTTGGCTGGAGCCGCTGTCAGACCAGGCGGGCTACCCGATGTCAGTCTCTCCACTTCGCTGGGAGGGTACGGAGCCCAGTTGCGGGGCGCTAGTGAACTTTGAAGCCTGCAGTTCAGTGATCAGCCTTACGGCACACATAATAATAGAAGACTTTTCAAGAAGTTTCATGATGAAAACAGTTTTTAACATATAATCTGAAACTGAGAGGTGCCATCTCTACGCCAGCCACTCCTGCGACACCCATGACCGCCCCAACGCCTGCAACTCCACTGACCACTCCCATGACCTCGCCGATGATGCGACAGCGACTGTGGTGACCTCAACATCACGACCCAGTGAACATGACTGCATGAATCCAACATGGCGGTTCAATTGATGCCACATTGTGACCGCTGAATTATATATATATATGCAGTCCTGACAAGGAAAATAAGCTTGAGGTTGTAGAACATGCAGTTCAACTAGTCAGATCACTCCCACGTCGAGCTCCGTCAAGGTGCGTGTCTCCTTGCAGAACCTCATGGGCTACACCTTTGATCCAAAGGTCAGGACAGTGCTTGAGATGGACCACATGAGACCTCCAGTCAATGACCTGGTTGTGTAGATAAAGCATTCACTTTGGCATGATAGCAGTCTGAATTACCATTTATGATGTGCGAAGTTGATATGAAGGCCCGTCGTTGATTTTCACAAATGTGTTCCAGGTTTTCAAGTCTCATCGCACTTCGGTCGGGATTGAACGACCTGTATCCTATATAATCCGTTCTTTAACCAGCTTGGGCGACGAGGCCTGCTCCAGTGTCCCCACGCGCTGTAGAGAAGCTGTTGGCGGTGCCGCAGTTGTTTTTTTGGGCTGCCATGATGACAATGGGAGGGAACAACATACTTGGCCTTCAAGAGGTAGATAAAGGATTATAAAAGCCGTTGAACATGTTCAACTTCGAGCCATTTCCTGAAATGAGTGTACCATAGTGTACCATTGTTTACCTGTCTACCTTTGACCTGATATTCCTATAGTGTATCATGCATATTGACTGTGTATTGATGTTTGTCAGCTCCTTGTTTGCCAAGGGTTTCTGACCTCATTCTTGCTGCAGCACTGGCTGGCGTTGCTCCGCGCACCGAACAGAATGGTGCGACGACAACCACGCAAAAGTGTTAGCTAAGCATGGCAGACATATATCCAGACAGATGAACCCCACATGCAAGACTGCGCACAGAAGTTTACAACCTTTGTGCATATGCTAAGCGATCGTTTTGCCTTTTCGGGTCTCTCCAAAGCAGTATTGGCTGCCATTTCGAAGAGGAGTTGTCGGTTTCTGTCACTTGAATCTGGGTTGCATCCAGGTGTTCTCAACTGCCAACAAGGCAATATGATTCCGTGACCGTGCACCTGAAAGACCTGCAAACAGAGATGATTGCAGTACCACTCCGGATATTACTACTGTATATGGAGTGTACAGTGTATTGGATTAAGCTGCCCCGATTTGCAACATGCCATTCTCTCACTGCCGAGGTCATGGCAGGTTTTGAAGCGTCATGGAACTGTGAGGAGTTGGCAAAGAACCTTTGTGATCTCCTGGCTGCTTGGTAGAAACTGTGTTTGACCTGTGAATGAGACAGCCAATGGGATGTTATTGCTGCCACCTATCACATGTTTAATTCACGTGTTTTCACAACTATCCATTATTCAAATTCCATGCTTGCTGGCTTCCAAACCTGTGAACTACAACAGCCTGTAGCTTGAGACATCCTTGTAGAGATGAGGAGGCCAGAACTTGCTCAGTCCGAAGATGTTTGGAATAGTTCAGATTGGATGTCCCACCTGAGGTCAAGAAAGGACAGCTCAAGGACGAATGGCTGTGTGCTTCAGTACAGTAATGCTGATGCTGATGCTTTTGTGAGAATGTCAGTGAGTTTGAGGAGAAGCCAGCATTTATTCGGACTGACCGCGAGGCATCCAACTGGAAACTGGCGTGCGATAGAGCAGTGCAGTTATAGTAGAAACTGTTACACTTCCTGCAACTAACATGGAAGTGGAAAACCTCCTTTTTGATCTTTTTGTAGAGGACATTAGAGGACAATAGTCTTCCAAGTGGCAATTGTCCACTTCCATGCTAGTTGCGGGAGTGTAGCAGAGGTCCCCTTCAACAGCTCCAGAGCAAATCAGGGGGTGACTCACCCTTTTCAAGTCTGGATTCTTCCGTGACTTCCAAGAGTACGGGTACCAAACTGCATAACAGCATCGAGTCTGAGGCGAAGATCGCCTCAATTTTTGAAGGCATCGGCTTGGATGGTGCGAAGATGGAGTCCTTCGACAATCCTGGCCCTTTGGAAGCTTGGACTCTTTCCACTCCGCGGGCGTTTGATATCTCCTGAAGCACGGCATTCGAACAGCTGTGCTTTGAGGAGATGCTTGTGCGAAAGAGCACCAACGGTGAGACTTGGGTCCAGCACGTCTTGGAGGGCTTGGTCAGCACCTGGGCTGGGGAGAGAAGGGCAGCAAAGCAAACTCGTATTCAAATGCAGCAGAGGCAGGTTGTCGTCTCAGCCTTCCCGCGCATTCCACGTGTGCATGATACATGCACACTTACTTGACACTGCTTTCCTTTTGGCTTTGCTTTGGCCAAGGTATGCTGCCAGAGGAGAACCTGCACTGGCACTGGTGTGATTTGTGCTCTGAAGCATTTACGGCATGGTACACCTTGGAGTGGGGACACGGGGTGGCAGGAGGTGGCCAAAGCAGCTAAGACAATGAACATGGACGAGGACCGGTAAGTGCATCGAGCAGCTTATATATTAATTATTTATATTATATATATATATATATTGTATATATATATATAAACAAAAATATGTATATATATATATTTGTTTAGATGACTACCTTTTTCTTATGCGTTTGCACACCCTTTTAAATGTTTTTAACTGTACATTACTACCTCCAGGCTGCGAAAGAGGAGCTCGCTGCAGCAAAAGAAAAGTGCGAGACTTATTCTATAGTGAAGCTTAAAAGTACATGTTTCGAGCTTTAGCATTTGCAACATGAACCGGGCATCAAAAGCAGAACATGTGGCATATGGCAAAGCATGCGTTAATCGTGCAAAGCGCACATCGTTGCAGTGACAAATCAAAACATAAGGACATTGATTGGCTGTGTCTTCTAAGTCCCTTCGAGGTCAGCACAACGCCGTGAACGTCTTCATGATGACAGAGACAAAGAGGGAGGCCTTGAACTCGGTGTTTGGAAAGAGGGGGTCTTAGTTCGACTCACGAATTGGCTCCTGCAGGTGACAAAGAGGGAGGAGACCGCCCAAAGGGCAAAGGCTGAGGGTGTCTGTTAGTTCTCCCTCGATTGATATACAGTAGTTCCCCACATCTTAGTGTGGGGTTCTTCTTTTCTATGTCTCATCCCGCTTCCCGCCCGCTTCCCGCCTCCGCCTCCGCCACACACACCGAGGCAACAGACACCGAGACAACGCAGACAGAGATCACACAGACAGAGACACACACACACA